GCTTGCTAAAGGAGACTCAAAAAATACTGAAGAAAGTAGCATCTTAAAAAATAGCCTAACCCAAATGGCAAAAGAGGTCCAAAAAGCCAATAAGGAGAAGAATGCCTTAAAAAGCAGAATTGGCCAAATAGCAAAGAAAGTAAAAAAGCTCACTGAAGAAAATAGTAACTTAAAAATTAAAATGGAGCAATTGGAAGCTAGTGATTTTATGAGATATCAAGACATTGTAAAACAAAACCAAAAGAATGAAAAAATAGAAGACAATGAGAAATATCTCATTGGAAAAACAACTGACCTGGAAAATAGATCCAGGAGAGATAATTTAAAAATTATCTGACTGTCTGAAAGCCATGATCAAAAAAAGAGCCTAGACACCATCTTTCAAGAAATTATCAAGGACAACTGTCCTGATATTCTAGAACCAGAGGGCAAAATAGAAATTAAAAGAATCCATCTATCACCTCCTGAAAGAGATCCCCAAAGGAAAACTCCTAGGGATATTATAGCCAAATTCCAGAGTTCCCGGGTTAAGAAGAAAATATTGCAAAGTAGCCAGAAAGCAACAATTCAAGTATTGTGGAAACACAATCAGGATAACACAAGATTTAGCAGCTTCTACATCAAGGGACTGGAGGGCTTGGAATATAGTATTCTGGAGGGCAAAAGAGAAAGAATTACAGCTAAGAATCACCTACCCAGCAAAACTGAATAATCCTTTAGGGGGAAAAAATAGATATTCAGTGAAATAGAGGACTTTCAAGCATTCTTGATAAAAAGACCAGAATTGGATAGGAAATTTGACTTTCAAATGCAGACTCAAGAGAAGCATGAATAGGTAAACAGGAAAGAGAAGTCATAAGGGAATTATTAAGTTGAACTGTTTATATTCTTATATGGAAATATAATATTTGTAACTCATGAGACCTTTGTCAATATTAGGGTAGTTGGAGGAAAAAAATTATAGATAGATAGATAGAGGGCGCAGGGTGAGTTGAAGATGAAGGGGTGATATCTGGAGAATAAAGGGGTGAGAGGATTATACTGGGAAGAGAAAGGGAGAGGTAGAATGGGATAAATTATCTGACATAAAACAGACAAGAAAAGGCTTTTACAGTTGAAGGAAAGTGGGGGAAGGTGACAAGGAATGAGTGAATCTTGTTCTCATTAGATTTGGCTCAAGGAAGGAATGACATACACATTTATTTGGGTATAAAAATCTCTCTTACTCTACAGGAAAATAGGGGGAAAGGGGATAAGAGAGCAGGGTGATGATAAAGGGGAGGGCAGATTGGTGGAGGGGGTAATCAGAAGCAAACACTTCTGAAGAGGGACACGATCAAAAGAGAGAATAGAATAAGTGGGGAGTGGTTTAGGATGATGTTATAGTTAGTTTTCCACAGCATGACTACTATGGAAGTGTTTTGCATGACTACACATGTATAACCTGTATTGAGTTACTTGCCTTCTCAATAAAGGTGGGTGGGGTGGTAGGAAGGGAGAAAATTTGGAACCCAAAGTTTCAAAAAAAAATGTTAAAAATTGTTTTCACATGCAGCTGGGAAATAAGATATATAGACAATGGAGTATAGAAATCTATCCTCTACAGGAAAATAGAAAGGGAAGGGGATCAGAGAATGAGGGGGCAGATAGAAGGTAGAGCAGATTAGGGGAAGGGGTATTCAGAATGCATGCCATCTTAGGGTGGGGGGAGGGATGAGGGGAGAAAATTTGAACTCAAAATCAAAATCTTGTGGAAATGAATGTGGACAAACTAAAATCCTTTTTCATTTGGCCAGTTCTGCTCTTCAGCGCATTCTTCTCTTCATTGGATTTGTGTGCCGCTTTTACTATTTGGCCTATTCTGGTTTTTTAAGGTGTTATTTCATCATTTTTTATGTGTCCTTTACCAAGCTGTTGACTCTTTTTTTCATGATTTTCTTGCATCACACTCATTTCGCTTCCCAATTTTTCCTCTTCCTCTCTTACTTGATTTTTTTCTTTTTTGGCTAGGCAGTGAGATTAAGTGACTTGCCCAGAATTATACAGTTAATAAGTGTTACGTGTCTGAGGCTGGTCTCTTACTTGGTTTTTAAAAAGTCTTTTTAAGTTCTTTGATAACCTGGGCCATTTCATATTTTTCTTGGAGGCTTTGGATGTAGGAGTTTTATCTTCTGCTGTCTTCATTGTCTTCTTCTGAGTTTGTGTTTTGATTTTCTCTCTTACCATGGTAACTTTCTATAGTCAGGATATTTTTCTGTTGTCTGCTTGTTTTCTAGCTGATTTCTTGACCTTGAACTCTATGCTAAAGTGTGGCTTTGCTTCCAGAGTCTAGGGGGCATTGTCCCAAATTTCAGCTTTTTTGTGCAGCTGTTTTCAGAGATAATTCTGGAGACCTGTAAGTTTTCGGCTTTTCCAAGACGTACGATCTAGAGACAGATGTGTTTACTGTGCACTGATCTGTGAGCAGCCACAAGCATTTTTTGCCACCATGTAACTGTGACCAGGTACACATGCTCACCTGTGGCCACAAGCTCTGGTGTGCTAGTGCTCCTCCCTGCCATGGGACTGAGACCTAGGACTGTGACCCAGATCTAAGTATAGGCAATACAACCTGCATAGGGTTCCCTGTAAATCTCCTTCTGACTAGTTGTCCAGCCGCGTTACCATCTGAGGTCCAGAAACAGCCACTGCTACTGCTAAATCAGTTACCCTAAGGCCTGCTCTGAGTTTCCTGGGACCCAGTCTGCACTGGACGGGACTCTACTCTCGTCCTGGTGCAACCAAACCTTTCCTGCTGACCTTCTAAGTTGTCCTGGGATGGAAAATTGTTTCACTCCATCTTTTTGTGGGTTCTGCCATTCTGGAATTTGTTTAAAGTCATCATTTAAAGGTATTTGGAGGGCTTTGGGGGAGAGCTCAGGTGAGTCACTGCCTTTACTCTGCTATCTTGGCTCTCTTCTCCCTGAACTAATCCTTCATATTCTTAAGGAGAAGATGCTGACCAGTTGTCCATCTCAATGGAAGACAAAACGATTGGAATTATATTTAAATTTACATCAAGGGTTTTTTTAGAGATAAAGGAAGAGGTGCTTGACTATAAGAGTGGTAACACTGGAATAGTTATGGAGGGGCATTATGGAATCTACAAACAGTAAGAATTTTAATAATAGGATTAATAACCAGTTGCCCTGGAGGTTAGAGTAAGTCAGTGGCCAGAAGCCAAAGGAGTAAACCAGGCAGTCTCTTCTGGTTTTATCTACTCCAACACACTTGGGTGACCATAGGTAAGTCTCCTAATCTCTCTGAGCCTCATTTCCTTCATTTAAAAAAAATTTTTTTTTTAGGCAGTTAGGGTTAAGTTACTTGCCCAAAGTCACACAGCTAGTAAATGTCAGGTGTTTGTTCTGATGCCGGATTTGAACTCGGGGCCTCCTGACCTCTATCCACTGTGCCATGTAGCTGCCCTGGTTCCTTCATTTTTGAAGTGGGGGTGATATTACTTGCATGACCTACCTCACAGCGTTGAGTAAAGCAGTATGTAAACCTTTAAGCATTGTAGGAAGAATGTTGCTATGGTTCATGTTATTCCCTTTGATTTTTCTTTGTGGCACCCTACAGAGCCATGTTTGTGCTGATTTTCCATTGCTTGCAGAGAACTATTGTACTTACATTCATCTTTTCCTTTTATTCTTTTTGCCCCTGATATATTCAGTCTAAAGCAGTGGTAGTAGAGGAGAGAGTTGTAGGTAGATCTGGATCCTGATGTAATTTTAAAGTCTGTACTTGTTAAATGGGGAAAAGGAAAAGGTGACTAAAAGGTTTGTATTTAGAATTTATGTTCATTAATACAGAGTTTTAGATTTGCAGGCTTTGATCTGGGAATCCAGTCCTAGTTCACTATATGTTATCTCCCTAAAAAAGTTGTAGATACCTTTAGTTCCTTCACTACCAAGTGAAGGACGACTCCATAAAGCTGAGAAGGATAACAAGATTTAAAATTTACAGAATCATTAGGGTGAAGATAGAGTACTTGGTAAGTTGCTTTCCAGCTTAGCCAATGGACTAGGACAAAATACATTATATTATATTTGATAATTGCTCTTTAAGGCAAGCTCTCTTATCTCTAACAGTCAACCTGATGGATTTTTTTATTAAGACACAAGGAACCTGCCCCGGCAATGTCGCTGCTTGTTCAAAGGAAACAAAAATGTCATATGATGGTGGGGAGGATTACTTAAGGAAACACTTTTATTAATTTTCTGCATGTGAAGTAGAGAAAATATATGAAGAAATATAATATTTAAAGGCTTTAGTTGCTCCTGTGCTATGTCTTGGGAGCTGCTAAAGCATAGTGAGCAAGTATGCTGTTGCTGAAGTTATGTAGGATAGCACTGATTGTTTCTGTAGTGCCAGAGTTGTTCCCCTGGTCATGCAAGACAGCTATTCACTTAACTGCTCAAATATTATTTTTAGGCAGTTAAATAAGTAGAGTGTTATGTTTTGTTTTGTTTTTTTGTCATTTTTACATTAATCTTTCATGGAATACAATTAAGATTTGAAAGACAAAATGGTGTTAACAGATAAACTTAGGATCACACTCAGTAAGATTTGGGTTCGAGTACCAAGACACATAGGCACAGTGACCCTGTGTAGGTCATTTAACTTCTCAGTGCCTCAGGCAACTCAGTGACTGTAAGTTTCAAAGAAGATGCCAGTCTGCATTGGTACAAGTAGTTTTCTCACTAAGAGCTCCCTAAGCTAATGAAATCATAGGTCTAGTCAAACAACAATGATGACATGCTGTTGGAAATGTATGTGTGTTCTAGCTTAAAATCTCTACTTGGAATGTTACACTTTTTTAAAAGTTAATTTGATGCCATGGTATCTTAAGCATGTATTTGATGTATAAGAACAACACTGAAAATTGTAGTTACTTTGTTTATTGTTCCCAAGAAGCAGAATGCAGAAATGATATATTCTTTGATTTATTGTGTTTCTAGAAAGTGACAAAATACCAGTAATGCGTGGACAGTGGTTCATTGATGGTACTTGGCAACCACTAGAAGAGGAAGAAAGCAATTTAATTGAACAAGAACACCTTAAGTGTTTTAAGGGTCAACAGATGCAAGAAAATTTTGATGTTGAAATGTCAAGACCCATAGATGGAAAAGATGGTAAGACCAATTCAGTTTCTTTACCTCATAGCATATGTTCTGTGATCCAAATAAAATCTTGAAATGAATATTTAGCAAGTTCTGGCATAACCATTTTATGATTTAGGAGATACTGTACTTGTATTATAATAATAACACTTATTTAAATTTAATTATAAATTTGCTTATTAGCTGCAAACTGTGCTATGAATTAAAATTAACTAAGGTAATAATGGAACTTCTATAACATTGTAATATGAAATTTGTTATAGCACGGGCCTTGTTTTAGTCCTTTTATCAAGGGGAATGTGTTTTGGAGGTACAGAAGGACCTCATTATAGCATAGTTTCACCTACCTTGTGGCATCATATAGGATTAGTTTTCTTTTCCTTCAAGTGAGCAGGCTTTTTTTTTATTCTACTAGTATAGAATATGGTAGACATAACTTTTTAATGGTTGAAATACTTTATAGCTTCTATTGAGCAAACTTAATATTTGAATATATTTGCAAAGTAGAGTGTTTATAATATGATAAGAATTTGGTAATATTTAATTTTATAACCCAGATGGTCTTAGCTTCGATAAAAATTTTGATAACTTAGTAATCTTTTTCATAGCAGTGTTTAAAATGCTTCTATTCTATTATTACTGCAGGCAGTGGAATCAGCTATGCTGGTAAGTAGAACAGGAAGATGAGTATCTTACAGATTTCTTTAATTTTGTTTTCTTGAAGTGTTTCTTCATCCATGCTTGCCTTTCTTTGGGAGGTTCTCTTATAAAACTTACACTGTAAATATAAAATACACTCATTCCAATGAAACATCTCTCAAAAATCAACAAAAAAGCTCCAGTATTGGTCAAGCAGAAATTAGCCTTGTAATCAAGTTATTAAAATTAATAACTAAAACCAATGAACAGTTGGTTTTGACTTATTTTCCCTCGCCCAAAGTTGTTGTAAGGATCATCACTTTTTTGTGGGGCATGGGAGGAAGGGGAGGAGGAAGAAGGAAGATTAATCACGAATTAGGAAGCAGCATGATTCACGATGTAATGTCAGGTTTAAAATACCATTAATACCAACTTCGTAGTAGTTTTTCTGTAACTATATAGAAGTTGATTTTTGTCATATTTTAGCTTCAGTACATTTAGCTAATGTATTGCATTTGCCTTCTTTTCATTTATCTTAAGCTTGAATTGAAGAAAAGCAACATTATACTCACTGTAGTTTCTGTTTGCTCCTATTGTCAGTGTTGTGATTGCAGTATTAAGTTTTGAGGATTAAGTGGAAGCTTGATGTACCTTTGTTTTAATGTGAGAGTAATATAGGTTAAATCTCAGCAAATGCTATTACAAAGAAGAGGTTCTTTGTGTAGCATCATTTCTGTGTTCTGGCAGATGGGTCATTAAAATAAAGCTTTGTTGACCTGGATACAGCTTCTCATATGCCATTGTCTTCTGCAATAAGTACTTTCTTTGGTACTGCTTAATTTTAGTCACTCTGGAGTTATAAAAGCCAACATTTTGCTTTTCAATGTTTTATTAATGCATTGTTTTATACCACAATAGTTGTCCAAAACTCTTCTCCAAAAGTACTTAAAACCTGTTAAGTAAAGCCTCCTGATACAGGGACCTGGATTGACAGAATATACTATATTTGTTACCCGTCCCATCATTTTTCTACCAAGAGGAAAGAAAAATATTTTAACATCAGTTGTCCGGAATCAGTATTGGTAATTGTATCTTGTTTCTGTTTTTTTGTAGTGTTATCTTCACTGAATGTATGTCAATTATTCTTCTAGTTTTACTCTCCTCGCTTAACATCATTATTTTATAGAAGTGTTCCCATGTTTCTCTGAATTCGTCATTTTTTTTCACAGCACAGTAGTAGTCGATGAAATTAATATACCCCAGTTTATTCAGCCGTATCCCAGTCAGTGGGCACCAATATTTTGATTCTATTTTTTTTAACTACTATTAAAAGAGGACAATACATTTTCATCATGAAAAATTTTAATGCTGTCTGGGAGAACTAAATGCTATTTAAAAAAATAAAATGCCATCAATGTACCTCGTCTTCTACCGTAAAAAAGCTTAATTTATCTAAAAAATGTCATATAAACACTCAAGCTATACCTCCCCCCAAAAGAACCCCCACAACATTCAGAAAAATCCAGGAGCTTAGAGAAGGAAGGGGATAAGACCTGAAAGTGTATCACGTTCTTTCTCCTATTCTGTTGAAATCCTTTTTTAAACCTGGTAATTCATTATAAGAAGGATGAATATCTGTTCTCTTTTATCTTTAGGTCTTTCAGATTGGTAATGTGATGACTATAATATATCTCATGTATAGCCACCAGGGTTTAAAAAATTAACCCAAACTTGTCACACTTATAAATTTAAAAACTGTTAATCTTTTGATTATTGTGCTTATTACCTCCAGGAATTTGAATTTTCATTGTCATTGGCTTGGTAAATTCAAACTTTTATTTCCTTCGTTGAAAGTCCAATACAGTTTCATTTAAAAATGCCAATAAATGATCCCTTTAAATGCATACTAATTGATTTATCTAAGCTTTTACAAATTTAGGACATTTCAACTAAGAAGTTATATTCTTTAGGAGAGAAAGCATTGGTGGTTTTAAACATTTATTAGACCTCAAAATTCAAATTGACCCTTGTTGGGTAGATGTCACCATCATGTTGCTTTTGCTTTCAGTGGTAACATTTAAAGAGAAGATATATACCTACCTGTTCCAAGTGCAAGAATTTCCCATCAGTACTATATATCAAATATATCGTATGTGTTTACTTTAAAGATATATAATATACATTGATTTTGTTCTTTGTACGTTTTCTGGAGTAAAAATCCTTTAAAAATCCTGTTTTTAAAATATGTTATCTGTATTAGAGGTGAGATGATACTATTTTGATTGTGATTAAGACATAACTGTTGCTTTTATAAAAAGCCTCTGAGTGCCTATTTCAATTTGTGAAAAGTATCTAGTTTGTATGTTAAACATTTTGGAAAAGGGGGAGGGATGAGGAGACCAAAGAAATAGTAGAAAAATTATCCACACATGAATTAGCTTCATAAAATTATGAAACAATATGAATATAAAATAGAATAGAATAAACTGAATACATAATTTATGAGTCAGCATAGTGTAATGGAAATAGTGTGGATTTGGAAGTCAGAAAACCTAGGTTAAAGTCCCAGTTCTTATTCACCAGCTGTGATCTTTGGCAAGTCACTTGATCTCTGTGAGCCTCATATTTCTCTTCAGTGAAATTGGTACAATAATATTTGTACTATTTACCTCAGAGCATTGTTGTGAGGGAAGCACTTTGTAAACTGTATGTGAACTATTTTACACACACGCGCACATACACACTGAAGTGATGTCAAATAAAGAGTAGTCATCATGGAATTTGATTAAATCAGTGAGGTTTTCTGGAAGCAGCCTTAGAGACATTTTGTTATGTTTTATTTTCTGGAAGTCTGTATAAGTATCTCAGAACCAGTTGTCAATCCGTAAAATGGGTATAATAATACTTATACCACATACCTCAGAGGATTGTTGTGAGGAAAGTACTTTGTCAACTGTAAAGCACTAAATGAATATGCTTTTTTTTTAAAAAAAAATACTGAGGAAATATATAATAAAAGAGTGATCACAGTAGAATGTTTTTAAATGAATATGGTTTCCTAGAGAGATTTTATTGACATTTTTGTTTGTTTTCTGTTAGACTGTAAAAGTATCTCAGAATCAGTTGTCAAGAATCTATCAAGAACATCTGGCAATCCGTCTATTCAGAATGTCTTATTAGGTGCTATGAGTGTGTATTTGTATACATATGTATGTGTGTGTATGTATAGATATCTATACAGACATGCATGCACACACACATACATAAATGCACAGTTCCTTTCCTCAGATGTTTTACTTGAAATAAAATATTATCAGTTCTGTTTCCTTTAGGCCTTTTCTCTGCTTTGGTTATTCAGGTTCACTTTTGCCCCCAAAGACCTGAGATCCCCACCCCAAATTACCACAGATTTTCTTTTAATAATTCCAGGGTAGAATGAGCAGTGTGAAGAGTGCATTCATGAAAGCCTTAACTGAATAAAAGTAAAACTTTACTTCATTCATATTTAAATCAGATGCTTCATTAAATATAATTTTATATGAAAGGAATAGTATAGTTCTCTATGAAAGGAATAATATTTGATTTGTTTTCATTTTTTGCTATCAAGACCAGAAGATGTTTTTTTAGAGATTTCATATAAATGAAAACCTAGAAATCCAGGGAAATCTTTAATTACTGTTTTGAAGCCTTTGGGATAAAGTAATTAATAAATGCTTCATATTTAAGTATTTCAAGGATTCATTATTTCATCAATGTAAGCATTCTCTTTTACCAGTAAAGGCTGAACCTCTTGCTACTTTATCATCTTTGTGAGTTGTTATTACTAGAAAGTCTCATGACCTGGTGGCCAACCTTTTGGTAACAAACCTTTCTGGTCATAGTTAGACTAGTCTTTTGCCAAGTAATTAGTCTTTCCAGCTGTGGTCCATTGATGTAGTCTTTAAGGACCCAGAGTAACCTCTACATCATAATGAAGCATGTAAAAACTATATGGCTAATTGGAAGGATTGCCTTCCTGCTTCATTCGTGTTCTGATTATTATTACAGATTGTTGATGTTTTATTCTTCAAGATACGCTCCTTGTCTCTTCATACCCACTTTTCTAGGTATTCTTTTCATGCCAGTTTTTTCTTTCTCCTCCATGAGAGTGTTGTGTCTAGGAGCTTCTTCTGTTTTCTGCTTTGCAGTTAGCAGGGAAAGCTTTTTGTTTGTTTTGTTTTTTTATTTTCACCTGTGAGGCCAAGCCTTAACTTGTTCATAATAAGTGGCATGCTTAAAATGAACAAATTTGCAGTGTCTAGTGGTTGGAGTAAGTTAGGTTGTTGGTTTGAAGTGGGAAAGGGAGATGAAGGAATGGTCTTTTGATTAGTACTTTTTCAGTGTCCTCTTTTTCTTTCCTCCACTGTTTGCAGGGTTTTCTCAGAATTCCAGTACCTTACAAGAGATGAACTCCTAAGAGAGGAAGGGGAAAACCTTGATATTAGCCACACCACCTTAGGCTGATGAAAACACCTTTGGTGAAATCCTGAAATATACCATGGATTGCTAGTGGCTGTCTTCTAAATTTGTTTTAAATTAAGACCCATTTTACTTTTAGTTCACAAAATTAGAGAATTTTAGAGATTGGAGAGACTTAAATAGCATTTAATCCTACCTATAGCTGAAAATGTACCCATCAAGGAGTACAGCTTCTTCTTGAAGAACTCTAGTGAAAGGGAGCCACCTCTCAAGGCAGTCCAGTCTTCTTTTTGAAACTAATTTCCTAAGAAGTTTCTGACATAAAACCAAAATTTGCCTTTTTGCATCTTGTGTTCCTAGTTCTGGCCTTCCCCATAACAGCTCTGAAGTTACTTCAACATATTTATCATGTTTTCCCTGACACTTCTCCTAGGTCAAACATCCCCATTTACTTCAATTACTACTAGTATGGCATGGCAAGACACTTTACCATCTTTATTGCTCTTCTTTGGATTAGCAAGGTCCTTCTAGAATGGAAATACAGTGTGACATAGTTTGCCAAAGATTGTCTTTCCACCTTCTTATTCTTAGAAGTTATGGGGGCAGCTATGTGGCACAGTGGATAGAGCACCAGCCCTGAAGTCAAGAGGACCTGAGTTCAAATTCAGCTTCCAACCAGATGTTTGACACTTACTAGCTGTGTGACCCTGGGCAAGTCACTTAACCCCAGTTGCCTTTAAAAAAAAAGTTATGCCTCTTTTAATGTAACTCAAGATCATATGTCTTTTGTCTAATCATACCACTGACGCATATTGTGCTTGGGGGTCTACTAAAACACAGAAATCTCCTGACAAACTACTGTGTAACCAAACCTCCCCATATTGTACTTTGAAATTAATTTTTTGAAACCAAGGACCTACATTTATCCCTATTAACATTTTATCTTATCATCTTCTGTCCAGTAATCCAGCCTGTCAAGAATTTTTTGGATCTTGTATCATCTCTGTGTTAGCCATCTGTCCCAGTTTTATGGCATCTGCCTGCAATATGATAAGCATACTTTTATTCAAATAATTCATAAAAACATTCAGTGACACACAGTCAGGATAGTTCTTTAGGGAAATATACTAGAAACCTGCCAAGTTGACACTAATGACTTCTTTTTTGAGGCTGGTTGAAAAGCTTAATTATATTATCATCTAGCCTTCATCTTTCGATCTTTTCCATAAGAATATTATGAAATACTTTGTTAAATGTTTTGCTGAAATCTAGGTGGCCTGTGTGTATACAGTATTCTCCTGGACTAGCAGTTTAGTATTCTTGACCTAAAGTAAAGGAAAAAAATTAGTCTGTGCTGGCCTATTCTTGTTGAATCCACGTTGGCTATGATCTCTGCTCTTCTTCCTTTTAAAAAAAGATAATCACTAAGTATTTTTTTCAATAGTACCTTCTAGAATTATTCCAGGATTGAAAGACAATTTATAGGGTTAGGATCATTTCCTATCTTTTAAGCAATTTATATCGGTTCCTTTTTTGGTTTGAATGCAAAACATTTTTCTCTACTGTCATTGTACTATTACAGTGGAGGGAGGGGGAAAAGTTCATGAGCTAATTATTTAGAATGAAACTGTCCTAAATGGAACACTCTAAATATAATGAGGGTTTGAGAGAAGTAAAGTAAATAATTTTGAAGTGAAATTTGGAATAGGGAGGAACAGCAGGAAATGGTTCAATACTGATTATTTAGAAAATTTTTGAAATTTGTAAAGTATATGTGCTTATGTATCTTATATATCTTCTTCCACTCCCCCTGTTAACTTGGGCTTCCCACCAAAACCATGCATTTTGGCAAGGGCAGAGGCTGAGAGGACAGGATAATGAAATATTACCTTTTTTTTTTAATCACCGTGTTTGTACAGGCATACTGAAAATTAGTTTTTGTTATATTTTTGTTAGTTTTGTTAGTTTTCTTAAAATAAATAATGGAAATAAAAATGTGGATATAGTACTATTTGTAATTTGAAATATCTTTAGTTGTGTGTTTTCAGGTTTGGCTTGGAGAGACTTCAGTTTGATCTACCTTGACTGCTTACCAATTTTTTTCAGTGGATTTTTTAAAAGATAGCAACTTATTGACAATAGCCTCTATCCCCAGTCACGAGTGATAGATCTTTCTCAATAACCGACCAGAAGGCACATGAAAGAAGAAACATTTTTAATAACAAAACTTAATTTCACTTGCATGTTTTCTCTTCCCTGTTGTGATCAGTGTTATTCTTGTAATATTAATGCAATATTTTTAGCTCTTTTTTGGCATGGCTTTTAGGTTTCATGCTTCTTAAAAATACTGTAGTTATTTATCTTAAGCTTTATAAATTTCTACTTCTTTTAATGACCAAAAATTTTGAGTAAAATTCAAGATTATATTTTATATGTCTAAATATTGCACAATAGAATACTACTGGTTTTCATTTTTTTGAGCTGTATCTAACTTTTCTTTAATGTTACTTTTAGATAGAAGGGAGTGAGGTTAAAAATCTTAACACCTAAACACCGAATGTAAATTAAACTCTGCATATTCTATAGTTCATTAACTGAATATGTCAGAAGTTACATTGTAAAATCAGACTTCAAATGAATTTTAAAATACTTATCTTTTGGTATCATGTCAAAAGAAACTTTATTAATGGTTCACTTTAAGGTTTATTTACCTGTTACCAAATATGGTACATCCTTTTGGTTTTTGATTCATGTTTATGTGATGTCATTCTTGCAAGCATCTTTCATTAAGGAATATGGTAATGATTATGTGGTTTGCAGTTTGGTTTTCCATTCTTTGTTATGCCCTTTTGCTTATGTAACAAATGCATATTTTAAAAATATTTTAACAACTTGGCTAGTGTTGTGAAAAATAAGACTGTCCTTATCTACCATAGAAGTATTCCAGTGCACTTCATTAATGCAAAGGGCACCCTAACAAAACACATCTAGAAGCATCTTCATTTTCTCAGTAAAGCTTTTTGTTTAGATGTTAAAAATGTGTCTGTTGAATTCATAACTTGTTCATCAGCTTTTTACTGTATCATTTATGCATATTTGGTAAATGTAAATAACCTTTGTGGGTGGGTAGGTAAGCATTTAAATCTCTTAAAAGAGAATTTTGAACTATACGTGAACCCAAAAGTGACGTTCTTTTGTATTGCTTCTAAATGCAATAGTGACGTGGTTGTTTTTAGCTAAAGATTTTAGATGCCATGTTTGCTTTTTTCTCAATGAAAGCAGATGATATATTTGATAAACATTATGAGGATGTTCTTTTACTTCTGTAATTGTAACTAGATATTATGTAAATTAAGCATTTAAATAATGTTTGTCCAATATAATTCATCATTTCTGTTGCCACTACAACAAAAAGACAAAATAACACCCTCGTTTAAAATTTACTTTGAAGCTCAGTGTTTTTACTTTCTTAGTTGTCTACCACCTCCCTCCCTTCTCCCTCCCTTTGTTCAAATGGAGAGGATATAAGGAGAGTGCAGATGCTGCATGTCTTAAAAGAAAGCGTTCCCAAGGTACGGTAATTGTAGTTTGTTTTTTTCTCCATGTAGTTATATTCCTGGCTTCTGGCATTCAGTTGTTTGTTTTGGTAAAGTATTCTGAAAGATTCGTTCATCTGCTTTTTAGGCAAGTAATATGTGTTTAAATTCTTAGGAATGAGTAGGTGTCCTTGTGTCCTTTATGCTTTTTTAATCTATAGTTAATTAGCTGTAGAAATATTCATACATTTGTAAACAAGATGTATGTGAGCCAATGAGGGTTGAAGTTATTGAGACATTTGGGTCAAAGCCACCTAAAGAGAAGCCAGTTTTCATCATCTGCCTTACAGTGCTAAACATATTGTTCTTACATTTTCAGTATTGTTAAGTTTCAAAATATTTGCTACTAGAGATATTTTATGGAAAGATTTAGGTTAGGTTAGAAAGTAATTTGTGTTTATCATTAAATCACTTTCTAAATGTTTCAATACAAAACTTTCAGAACAAAATATTGGAAAATTTTCCTTTATATACACAAGAGTTTTTCTGCCTATCCTTTCCTTACAAATAAAAACATTACTAACACAATTGATTACATTAATTTAAACTTTGTCTTATGCACATTGTTAATAGCATTGTAAGACAAATGGAAGAAATTGACTTCCATGTATGAATGATTTTTTAAGATTCCATTTGTAACAGTCATACCTAAGGATCATGTGCTTTCCCAAGAGTTCTATGGGAATGTGACATGCTAAAGAAAGGCTGTTATGGTTGCAAATATTCACTCGGTGTATCTTTAAAAGTTATATAATGAGCTACAAGTCAGCTTCAAATCCATAATTCCTTTTTGGGGGGGGGAGTTGGGTTTTTTTGTTCGTTTGTTTTTTTGGAGACTGGGTCTCCCCATCTTGCATAAGCTAAAAGTGCATTGGCCTCTCCTGGGCCCGATACCATTGCAGATCAGCATGTGAACTTTTACTAGCTCTGTTTTCAGTTTTGGCCAGTTTGTTCCTCCATAGGCTGGCCACTCTCCCAAGTCTCACCACGTTGATGCCAGACTTAGTGTAAATTGGTTTCTGCATACTGCAGCTCTAAACTTCTGAGCTCAATTCATCCATCTGCTTCAATCTTCCCAGTGGCAGGGCTTACAGTTGTGCACCACCATGCCTGACCATGCATTTTTTTTATAGTGGGAATTCCATTCGTCAGACACTCAAGAGCTTAGCCCTACCACCAAGAAATTAAATTGAATTAAATTTTAAAATTGTGTGGCAAGTCACTTAACCTCTCTTCTGCCTTTATTTCCTCCTATAAAATGGAGTTGACATATTGCTTCACAAGGATTTTGTGAGAAAAAAGTAGGGTAACCTAGATTAGTTATAAAGATCTTAAATTCATGGGCCTTGCTCCCCTTGGTTACCCGAAGTTTATTTAGTAGGCAAATTTTTCTTGCCAGCAGGCCTAAGAATAAAAAAATCCTTTTTTTTGAGTCCTTTAGAAGATAAGAATTATAAAACTGGTAAGTGGTAGTATTGTTATAGTCAATATCTGGAGTTACATGGCTTTTCTTTAGTGTTCATACCAAGCCTTGATGTGGTAAAATAAAGCAATATTTCTGGTAGTTTTTCCCCTATAACAAATAAGTAAATTTAAAAATCTTCATTCAATACAAACCTAAATGTTTTTGATGGGGAAAGAATTAACATCTGAATTAACAAATTAAACATCTAAAAATCAGTCTGCCAGAAAAAGTCACTTTTTTGAATACAAGATTGTGGTGGATAAATAATAAAAAGAACAAAAAAAATTTTCATTTTTAATTTTACTTCTTTTTTTTAGAAAACTTACCTTGTTGGGGAGGGGAATCAGACTGGTAATTAGAGACCAATGAATCATTGGTACTAATCTCCAAGACTGATGACTACCTTAAAAAGGCATGTTGAATTATATTTTAATTATTTAACCACCTCCCAAATGGTATGAGTTTTCCTTAGGTTAGAGGACACACTATTCTAGCAGGAAAAAAGCTCCTAAATGTGTCGTTCCAATAGGCCAAAACTGTTTCTGAATCTCAGACTCAAATCATAACCTTGCCTTTTCTGGTTATTGTACCATGTTTTTTTCTTGTCCCATCTTTACTGTACCTACTAAGACAGAGGCTTAAATTACAGAAGAAAATCTATGACATGCATCAAAATCCAAGAATAAACAATAAAGGTCAAATTGTCGTGCCATTAACTTGAAATTTTTAAGGCCTAAGATGGGACAATAAAAAATGATATAGGAAGAAACATATACACTGCTTTTGGATTCCCTGAAGGTTAAGAATTTTATATTTACAAACACAGTTGAAGGGGTGAAATGCAGAAGCTAATCCTGTTGTTCAGTGTATTAAATGATGGATCTGATATTCACCCATTCAGAGTGTGAACAAAATCTTGAGTTCTATGAATTTTTTATGATTTTCCATATAAATACAGTTCATCATAATAGCCTTAATTTAAAGGTTGCTCTTTTTTTTCCTTTGCAACAGCTATTCATAGTTTCAAGTTGAGTCGCAACCACGTGGACTGGCATAGTGTGGATGAGGTATATCTTTACAGTGATGCAACAACATCTAAAATTGCACGAACAGTTACACAAAAGCTGGGTTTTTCTAAAGGTAATAGATTTTTTTTTCACTCAAATGGAGAATGTTGTTTTTCCTATTCTTAGAAAGAATTTAATGAAGAATTCACATTTTTCATTTATGACAGTGCTAATATTTATAATAATTGTTTTTATACCCTGTTTTATTTATTAGTGATTTAGCTGACCTATGTTATAACCTAATATTAAATATTTAAAGAAATGTAACTGGGCATTATAATAACTTTTATGCTTTTAAAAATAGTCAAAAGATGATTTTGTAGAGCTAAAAATATGTGGAAATAGTGTTGTTGGCAAAAGCAAAAAACTAAATATTTTTACAATGTATTTAAGATTTACAGAGGTCATTTTCACAACAATCTTTGAAGTATATAGTGTAAATATTATTATGCCATTTTTTAAGGTGAGGAAACAGGTTCAGAGAAGTAGAAAAATTCTGAGTAAGTTGAATATGTGCATAGATTTTATACATGACTCAGGGCACCCAAGCTTTAAAAATTAAACTTGTCCCTGACTGAAATTTTGAGTTTGTTGAGGTTTGAGTTTGTAGTTTTAGTTAAAATTTTCAAACATATGTGAAAAATGCCACCCATTATAGGTTAAAATATTGAACTTTAAAGAGTCATGACTTTTCTACAGCTTCAAGTAGTGGGACCAGACTCCATCGAGGCTATGTAGAAGAAGCTACCTTAGAAGACAAGCCCTCACAGACTACTCATATTGTATTTGTTGTGCATGGCATTGGGCAGAAGATGGACCAAGGAAGAATAATAAAAAATACAGCCATGTGAGTTTTTATGCACATATTTCATAATTGCTGTGGTGTTCTAAATCTATACCTGATCTTTTAAATTAAGAACTATTCAGATATTAAGAGAGAGTGTTTCTTCTTGTTGCAAGGTTCTTCAATACCAGTTATCATGAAAAAGAGCTGCCTTTGGTTCTTAAGGTGATGGAAGGCAGGCAGGGAGTATTTTTATTCTGATTATTAAAGGTAAAACATAAAGCCTAAGATGAAAATAGATTTTTAAAAAATCAAAGCATAGAGTGTGCTTTATGTTTAAACTGGTATAAATTGAGAAGGTAATGAAGGTTATATCAAAAATTTTTTTTCAATCACTAGTCAGTTGTATCTAATTAATTGAAATACTATAATAGAATTGTAATCTTACTGATCTAATTATTTCCTCCATTTGTGTATATCAGAATCATGCCTTCTCATCCTATTAGATTCTTGTTCTCCCTCCCATAGATCCTTCACAGAGGATCCACCCAATGAGTCTTTCCTTCCTCTTATAGTCTTTTTATGTTTCTTGGTACCAGTTTAGCCCTCTGGCTGTCCATATGGCATCCTTCTCTCTTAACCTGTTCTATTCCTCTTCTATCCCTTATGCTACTTCTTGCACATTGGTCATTGTTGGATTTTTGTTGCAGCCAACTTTGTCCTATGTCTTACCCTTCCTCTCAAATGTCAATTCTAGTGATGGTGACTGCTTGCCAGTATCCTAGGAAGAATGTAATGTTATATTGTTGTGGGGAAAAAAAATTTTAAGTATATTTTTAACAATGCCAGAATTAATGTCTAAAATAAAAATTGTATTTATGCCTTTTGCATAATTTTATTACAAAGGAGGAGAGGAAGCATATCCTGAATTCTAATCGAGTCTTTTTATATACCACACTCATGCCACAAATTATTTCATTTGAGATTTTAAAGATGTGATTTTGTGTAATAGTGAATGAATTTTGTATGAGTATTCCAAAAGGCTATACATTTTGCCATAGTGTCTTTATGGGAGCATTGACATCCGACTCCTATTGGTCTTTCGCTGAAACTTTCCTCAAGAAGGCAACTAAAGTTTTGGGGATGAAAGTCAAGTTCTTGTCTTGCCTAGACACCAACTCCATGCCTCCTTAAAATTTTGGCCTTGGTTTAACTGTTAAGAACTTTGACTTTTATTAGGGAAGTTTTGAATAGATGTATTTTTGTTGTATGATATAGTATACCGTTTATGTGGTGGAACAGTTTTTTGAATGTTTTGCGTTGAGAGCATATAGACAAATGAATAGTACTTAAAATTTTACCCCTAAAATCTAATCTATTGGCTCTTTTATATTAATATTATAACCTGTTTTGTTCATTGATTTTTATCTGAAATGAGATTTGAATTTTAGAGCATTAAGGGACTTTTTTGAAATCATCTAACTTTTGGAGATGGAACTGAGGCCCGGAGAAGTTAAGTAATTTGTCCGGAATAATGGGATTTAGAGCTGGAAAGAACCTTAAAGATCATCTTATCTGAGTCCTCCTCAACTTTTGTGTGTGTGTGTGTGTGTGTGTGTGTGTGTTAGACAGTTGGGGTTAAGTGACTTGCCCAGAGTCACACAGCTGGTCAGTGTCAAGTTTCTGAGGCCAGATTTTAACGTTAAAGCAGGTCCTCCTGACTCCAAGGCCAGAGCTCTAGTCACTGCGCCCCCCTAGCTGCCCTGTCCCTCCTTAACTTTGAGATGCAGAAAAATTAAATTACTTGGCTAGACTTTTCTAGCTAATTTTGACTGAGCTGGGGCTAGAATTTAGGTCTTCTCACTTTTAGTACAGGGTACGTATTTATTTCTGACCATGATTTTTATTTTTGTATCCTTATGTCTGAAAATAATTTCTGTATTATCCCAATATATATTATTCACAAGATATTACCTGAATAATGATAGTCCCTCTAATAAAATCCTGAATTTAAGGTTAATTAGTAGGTATTACATTGAATTATATATGTTTTTGTTCAGTTTTCAGTTTTGTCCAATTCTTTGTGACCCCATTCAGGGTTTTCTTTTTTTCTTTTTAAGTGAACTTTTTAAAAAATGTTTTCTTTTTTTCTTTTTTCTTTTTTTTTTTTTGGCAAGGCAGTGGGGTTAAGTGACTTGCCCAGGGTCACACAGCTAGTAAGTGTTACGTGTCTGAGGCCGGATTTGAACTCAGGTCCTTCTGAATTCAGGGCCAGTGCTCTAGATTCAGGGTTTTCTTGACAAAGATACTGGAATGGCTTGCCATTTCCTTCTCCAGCTCATTTTACAGATGAGGAGACTGAGGCAAATAGGGATTAAAGTGACTTGCTCAGGGTCACACAGCTAGTAAGTGTCTGAAGCTGGATCTGAACCCAGGAAGATGAATCTTCCAGACTTCAGGCTCGGCACTCTGTCTACTGCCCTGATTATATATGAGCTTTCCATAAAATCAAAGAATAAACAGTCATTGTCTCTGGTTTAAACTCTAGGAACTTGTAACTAATATTAATATGACAACAAAATAGTAATATATTATTGTCTTAAATAAAAGGAAATTTTACTTCTGGATGTTGAAGATCAATTATGATTTTAAAAAATACAAATTAGACAAATTCTTGCTTTTAGTAACTTTTCCCAGTCATTATAATTAAGTATTGCTTGCTGTTTATACTCAGTGTTATATAGCATTTGTTCTTACTGTAATTGTCCCGAGTGGTATTTACTTTTATTGTTCAGAACAAAAATGTTAAAAACTTAATATGTAGCTGTATGCTTTGTTAAACTCTGGTCTGACAAGTTGTTAAGTCAAGGTGATAAAGAAATATTGCTGTGTCTGGGTGACTTGATTTGAACGATGAGATGGGTAAAAATATGCAAACGGGATGAAGCAACAGAACTAATATCCATATATTAGGTTCGTTCTGTTAAATGTTATGGAAGATAAGCAGAGAAAAATGTTTCCTTTTACCTTTAAACTGTCACATATATAACACTGAATGTTTAAGTTAACTGTGCTCACCCAGCTAGTGTGTATATATCAGAGTCACATTCTTGAAAGAAAGATTTAATCTTTGGCCTTTCACAAAAATGTGGTGTTTTGGTCTTTACAAATAAAAAGTTACAGCTGAAATGAGTTTGAATACCAGCTATAATCTATTCTGAAGTAGTCTAATTTATTCATAGCACCTCAATAAGCACTTTTCTGCTTATTAAAAGAAGGAAATTTCTAGCAACTTTCCTTTTGCTCATTTTTTCTCTTAAATTTAAAAAAATGGATAGGATCATGGATCTAGAATTAGAAGGGACCTTTTAGAGTATCTAATCCAACTTCTTCATTTTATAAATGAGGAAACTGAGGCCCAAGGGGGACTTGTCCAAGGTTACACTACAAATGTTGAAGATAGGATTTGAATCTGGGTGCTCTGAATTGTATTTACTATTATACCATCTTACTTTTAAAGTATAATTTCCCACTTCTTCAGTTCACCAAACTAAGGTAAAGTATTTAATATAATGTTTATTACTTATGATTTTGTTATATATTGCAATGTATAGATTTATATCAATGATAGTTTGTCTTTTTCACTGTGATGAAATATTGAATATACTCAGCCCCCTAGAAAAAGAAAAATATCCATATTACCCTAACTTCTGGTTTGACTGAAGAGACAGATACATATTCACTTTTTTAATTATATCTCTTTTTTTGTTGTTTTTTGTTATTTTAATTTTTTTAGACAATCAGAGTTAAGTGACTTGCCCAGGGTCACACAGCTAGTAAGTGACAAGTGTTTGGTCTGAGGCTGGATTTGAACTTGGGTCCTCCTAACTTCAGGGCCAGTGTTCTATCTACTGTGCCACCTAGCTGCCCCTTCACTTTTTTTTTTAAGACTTAAAGGATTATTTTGCTATGTTCTGTGTTCTAGAGTCTAGCTATTATTTAAGATTTGATTGAAGCAAGTAGGAATACAGAAAAGTTGCCATTTCCAGGTACCATATTTAGGAGTAAGTTTAGAACAAATTTAATATTTGCTCATTTTGTTGTAAAATTTTCTTATCTTTTGCTCTTCTTTATTATAACTAAATATAATCATTTCTTATTGAGAAGTAATCTATTGATGTACATATATAGATAACTGAAAATTATTGCCCAGAAGCATAGGAATAGATAGTCTGAGTTATTTGGTTGAACTGTCTCTGAAATAGAAACATAAAGAGATTTTGTAATTTCCCTTCTCATCCCCATAGATTCTAAATAGTGTTTCTTGGATTGTACTAACAAAAAAAAAATAGGCAAGCATATTAGCTCTTTCTGTCCTTCATCATTTCCCCAAATGACTTTATGCAGCTTTTTTAAAAGGCCATAGATTTCCTCTTATGTCATATAATTCAGAGTCTGTTAAGTGGCCAAACGTATGGCATATTGCATGTTAGTTTATTTTGTCTGAAATCTTTACAATATACTGTTAGCCTCATTTTAGATATGCTTTACCTAATTAAAATTTCATTTTAAATTTTAGAGGTATACTTGTCATTACTATTATGAAATTCTTTTAGTATTTTATGAAATTGAAATCTAATGCGTATTTTTCTGCTTCATTAATGAGGCTTTTATTCCTTTTGACCAATAACAAGGAACACATAGCAAGGAATAGGTAATACTAGATAACATTTTTGCATCTTCATAAAAGAAATTATCAGAACAATCCATAATTTGTCATTTTAATTTTAGCGTTTCATATAGATCTGACTTCATTTTTAATGGTCTGTTATGTATATGTAAATACAAATATGTGTTTGTGTTATGTTTTCTTTTAGGATTTTGGTCTAGTGCAACAAGCTAAAATTACCACAGCTTTGACTAGTTTAAAACTGCACTAAGACTTCTGGGAATGTGTGTGTGTGTGTGTGTGTGTGTGTGTTTTCTGAAATCATCCCTTTTATCCTTTCATCTCATAATGGTATCCTGTTAAATTGTTCAGACATTCGGCACTTGATGGACAA